AACTTATCCTTATTATTGGGGGAAACAGTCTATATTGCACTGACATATTATCTGACCTTTTGGAAAATAACACAGTAACCCAGCACTGAATCTTTGGAGGTGTTAATAACGGTGGCAGCACCTCCAAAAGAGACTGGCAACTCCTAAATCAAACTCAATTGGAAAAGTGCCTGGGATTCTCAGATTCCTGACTCATTGCAAAGTGACAAGCAGCAGAGGCTATTAATTCTTCCTAAGGTTTATGAGGGCACAAAGGAATGAAGAGCTTCCTGGGGTCTCCCTTGAGCACTGAAAAAATGGACAGTGCACTTCAGCTCTGGGGGAAATACAAAAATCATTTCAACTGATGGAGTCGTAATGCTAAACCTGGGAGCTTTGTTCGTTTGAGCTCTGAGAACACACTGGGAGGGTAAAAATTTAGAGCTTCATTTCCTTCCTATTCGTTGCTCTCCACCCCTAATTTAAAATAGTCCATCTGGGAAAAATATTCCAGAAGTCACTAGCATTTTTTCTGCGAGTCTGCAGCTGCTGGAGAAAGGGACAGGTGTAGATACTGCCAGGTAAGTGAAATTGCTAAGTAGGATGATAATTGGTGCATTAAAGTGACTAAAGCTTCAGACCCTCTGTCAAGGATGGGGAGCAAACGGCCATACGGTGCTGTGAGGAGAGAATAATTCTCCCTTTTCTGTCTGGCCCACTCCTGTCTTTTCTCCTCTTACAGATTCCTAACCTTTTAGGATTTCCTTTGGTAGCCTTTTCAGGACCTAGGAAAATAATGCCTATTGCTCAGGGTGACACATGAGTTCAATAAGAGTTTGTCAAAATGAATATTTTAGGAGATTCCTAGAGCTCCATCTTTATTTAGAGGTTCACATGCATAAAGCAACATTTCTATAAATGTGACATTGCAACAGTCTGTTAAGATTATCAAGTATCTCCTTTTATAACAGAAAGCAGAAAATAGCGTGCTTTGTTTTTGTTTTTTCTTCAAATCATTTGGACTAGTTTTCAAATTGTGTACAATTAAAAGCCCACAATATGTATGTTGAATTTAATTAACTGACAATTTTATTTTTAAATTGACTAAATTACTCTCTTACTTTGAAGATTTTTTTTCAAAAGAAAAAAATAGTCTTTTATTAACTACCACACTGTTATAATACACTTTATTTTTTTTTTAAAGATTTTTTTTT